AGGTTAAAACCAAGAGCGTGGAGGGTGGAGCCAAGAGTCATGGTGCATAAATCCTGTGAAGGAGTATGACTGAGTCCTTAACAAGGAACTCCCAACATTTGCCCTGCTGAATTTCATAATTGCTATGGAGCAGTGATTGCTGTGTGTTGTTGTTCCTTTTTCCTCACTTTAAATAGGAATATTTTTAGTGGTTGTCCTGTGCCTGTCTACCATCATGTATTATGTGTGTGTGTGTGCTGGGGAGGGATAACTTTTCTCTTTCATTTACACATCTTTGGACCAAGAGGAATTGTACACAAGAAGCTATACTTAAGGCATTTCAGTCAAGAAGACTCAACCACAAATAGCCTTGATTTAGAAGATGAGATTCTCAACTTTGAGCTGATGTTGTAATAGGATGAGACGTTGATGGACAGTTGGAATGGGTGAGTGTGTTTTGCATCTTTGAAAGACATGTACTATTGGGGAGTGATAGGGTGGATTAGCCTCCAACACAGTCCCTCACCTCTTATTATTCTTGCCTTGTGTTGTCCCTTCCCACATTTTATAGGGCATTGTGGGAATTAAGGAGTATGACTGCTGCTGAGTGTAGGTCATAGAAGAGATTGAGATTTCTGTTTTACTCTCTCTTTGACTACTCACTTTGACAAGCCAGCTGTTACAGGAGCAACCCTATGGAGAGGTTCACCTGGCCAGGAACCGAGACCTGTTGTCAAAAGTCCACATCAATTTGCCAGCTTGCAAGTAAGCCATCTGGGAAACAGGTCATCCAGCTCCAGTCATGGTCTTTTCTAGCACTAGTTATCTTTGATAAAGAGAAATAACAGCACAAATAGTCTGAACCCTTTATTATTACCTGAATGGTCTAAAGGCATTACATTCAAAAGTTTAGCAACTGTGGTATCCAAAAATAGCCATGTCTACAGGCCTACTTTTGTCAGAGATGCCATATGATGACCCTTCTGGAGGCTTAGGAAATGATTCCTATGTCTTTACAGTAGAAGGGGGTGGGGAAAGTGTGGGGAATGATGTTGAAAAGTACTCTGATACTTAGGTCAACCATGCTAGTGAATGAGGATCTTAAACACGACACTAAGGGGGCTTAATTTTTTGTTTGAGGCTAAAGTTCTAAACTTTTAAAGTGATATAGATTTGTGTTTTAAAAATAAAATTATCATCAATATGGAAGATTAGAGAAGAAAGAGACTGGAGTCCAGGAGACCAATCATGAAATCCAAGGAAATCTATGAAGTATGAAGTATGGAATAGCTAGGGCTCTCCAACACAAAACTGTGAATAAGGGGCGGAGAGGTACGAAGCAGGTGGTTATTAAGAAGCGGGGTTGCTCATCACTGGTTCAACTGTCCACAGAAAATTGCAGGCTCTTAGATTTAAAAGGAATGTAAACACAGAAGGTCCATCCCTCTGGAAGAAGTGTATGTGGCCCTCAAGTCCCCTAGAGCAACAAGATTCTTCCTTGCTGTCCCAGATCTACTTTAAGGACTTGCTTCATTAGGCTGTTAAGAGGGACAGAAAACATTGCTGTTTAATAGCCATGTGATGATTCATAAGCATTAGCTAACTCCATAAGGCAGAGATGTCACTACAGAGAACAGGCAGGGATTCAGAGATTCAGACAGGTCTGATGGGCTTTATGAGATGTGTACTTTGAAGCAGACAGTTCTCATGGTACAGAGGGGAAAGGAAGAGGATCTATAGTCCATCCTTGTATGCTCCTCAACCAGCTAAGTGAGGGGCCAAAGTAGGAGTTGAAGGAGCTTTTGTTAGGAAGAATTGTGTGAGATTCTGTGGCCAACCGGTATGATTTTTGTCTTCTAGTGACTCTGGCATAGAAGTTAGTGAACATTTGAAGGTTATTAACCTAATCAAGAATATAGTGTACGCCAAGGATTGGTAGGTATCGCTTAAAATTTGCATAAGGAGCCTGGTTTGTACAATATCTTTTCCTATCCTTATGTCTATTTAGCACCAGGAGAGTTTGAAGTTAGCATAATGGATATTAGAAAATGATTTTTTTAACAGGTGAGTCCTTAACAAGTAGTGTTTAAAATATATGGATCGCCTAGAAATGTACAGATATTTCCATTCTTAAATGAAGAATAAGAATATAATATAATATTAGAATAATAATAATAACAACGTAATAATTCTTATATAGTAAGATAAGAATCCAGCAAGCTCAAAAGCATATATGCTTAGCAGTGGCCCCCAGACCTGAAAATTCCACTGGGTTCTATGTTCCGCCACTTACAAAGGATGCTGTAATCTGATCTAACTAAATAATTACCTGGATCTTGCAATCGGAATATTGTCACATCTTTCCTTAAGTGACCCTTTTGTGAAAAGGGCCTAAAAGGTCAGAAAGCAGGAGCTTTCCCGGGCTCGCACAACAGTTGGTGTAGCTGTGCCTGTACCTGCCGTTCATGATTTAACCTGAACCTTGCTGAATTTCATTGTATCAAATACCACCTAATAGTCAAGGTATGAGGAAGGAGACCATTGCTTCTCTTATCTCTACCTACTGGAAACTGGTCATAGTTCAGGAGAAGATCCTGATAGTTGTGATGACCTTGTTTTCTTAGGTGTGCTTGACCATGAAGAATGAGGCTGACAGAGCAGTGAGCATTCTCTGTACTTCCAGGTGACTGTGTGACTGCACTTAGCATTACAGTGATGGAGCTCCAGGAAATACCACATCACTGGCACCTAGAGGCTGGCCTCTTGAGGGAAGCCAGGAGGCAGCACCTTGGCTAGGCCGACTGGTGCTGGGGTGGACTAGAGCAGCAGGAGTTGATGTCCTGCCAGAAGAGGTCACTCTCCCTGCCATACTGCTTCCTCAACTTGTGTAAAAATATTTTGGAAGTCTCTAGAAATAACTGGGTGAGTTTTGAGGGGGCTCAGAGGCTCTGCAGTTGAGGCCATGACCCAGCTAAATACAGATTAGTACTTTTCATGAAACCCTAATTGTACCCACAGCAGTGTCTGGGGAACATACATTACAAGCTCTCAGGAAGCCTTGTATAAGGAGTGGTAGAAATCAGTGACTGAGGGAGAAGCATTGGGAACCACTTATCTTCTTAATGCGTCTGGATCCTGAGGCGGGGTTAGTGTCCTTTTCAGAGCAGGGAGTATTCAGGGGAAGTGATGAAGTGGGTTTCAGTGTCCCTTTCTTTGTGGGGATGGGAAGGAGGCTACCCCACTGCACTTTACAGCAGGAGAGGGTGAGAAGGGCCAGGGAGGAAGATGACTGATTCTTGTCTCTGAACCCCAGGCCCTAAAACTCTAGCATCGAGAATCTGGGAAAGTGTGGGGCTATCTGTGGGGACCTACCTTGTGCCAATATTGGAAGGAAAAGGAAAATTGTTTCTCTACTTATACCATTCCTGATGCCAAATATGTAGGGTTTTATTCCTCTCATTAAACAATGTTGACACTAAGTCCTCCGAGTTAGCAGTGACCCCACAGGTTAAGGGCTTAGTCCCTCAAGACTGTCCCCACTTTGGACACAAATCACAAATGATGGGTCCCTAGGTTTCCCACACTTCCATCAGACTTGACTGTGAATCGGAGCTTCCCACAACCCCCTTCTAAGGCTTAGTAATTCACTGTAATGGCTCACAGAACCCAGGGAAAAACATTACTTACTATTACCAGATTTTTATAAAAGATATAATAAAAGATACACACAAACAGCCAGATGAAGAGGTATTAGGGTGAGGTCCTGGAAGGGTCCTGACCACAGAAGCTCTGTCCCTGTGGAGTTTGGGGTAAGCCAACCTCCTGGCATGTGCACGTGTTCTTATTCACCAACCCAAAAATTCTCCAAACCTTTTTGTTTAGCGTTTTTATAGAGGTTCCATTACGTAAGCGTTGGTCATTGGTGGTTAGTTAGCTCAATCCCCAGGTCCTTTCCCCTTCCTGGCAGTGAAGGAGCTGAAAGTTCCAACCCTCTAATCACGTGGTTGTTTCTTCTGGAAACCAGCCCACATCCTTCAAGAGTCACTTCAATGGCATAAACTCAAGTATAGTAGAAAGGGGCTGATTATGAATAACAACAGATTCTCCTCTGACCTCTATAGCTCAGGAAATTCCAAGGGCTTTAGGTGCCAAAAACAAGAGACAAAGACCAAATATATGTAGTTCTTATTATATCACAGTATTACAGAGGATCAATGAGGTGTCCTCACTCTGGGGAAGAAGTCAGAATGTCTGCCTCGCCTACAGGGTCAAGTGGGAAAAAAACTGGAGTTCCAAAGAGAGAGACAGGATTGCTTTGTGTGAGAACACAAAGGCCCCACTTCTGCCTACAATCGAGACAAGAGAAAACTCGGTGGGACTGTGGCAAACCAGGTTTGGGGCAGGGATTTTGCTGATGGTGAGAGTCAGTCACTGCGGGGCTAACATGTGAATGCTAACATGGACCTGGTGTCATCCTCAGATACATGGGCAGGTCTTGGAGCTGACCAGTCCCAGAAGCATTTCCAAGCAAGATGAAATGTGGCAGTTGATGGTTGAGTGGCCATTTTATACTGAAGTTTCTTAGTGGTCGATTTTTCTGAAGCAAATACTTTTTAGGGTCTAAGGGATATTCGCAAAATTACATTAAAGGGATTAAATTGCTGCTAATTGCTTTAATAATTCATTAAACATTGTTCTGGTACTATCTCAGTAAATATTTTTGTATTAATAGGAAAAAAAAACCTAAACCTGTGTTGATACATTGTAACCACCATGTGTTCAAACAGGGGAGTTGTTTTTTCCTTCATTGGACAAGCTCGTATTCCTGAGGATGGTTCTGGAGCTCCTATAAGTGTGACATCAGTCATTTAAGGTATCTTGGGTTCTTAATGTCACAGGATTTAACATGTCAGAATTTGTCATAAAGGAGAAGGTTTGTATTGCATTTGCCAAGTCCACTTGTTTGAATAATTTTATTCAAAATTATTAGTTCATTAACCATAGGATAAGTAAGGTCCAAGTTTATTTTTCAATATAAGACATATATATGACTGTTAGACATCTTTATAAGGCAAAGAAATGCAGCTGAATGAAATGATGTCCAGAAATAAAAAATATATATGATATATGCAATCACCATATTATGAATGCATTTTTATTTATTATCTACACAGATACACCTCATCAAAAGGACTCACTGACATCTATCAGCTGAGACAACTACAAAATACATATAAATCAATGTTTCAGATGGTTTCTGCTCTTTTGAATAAGTAGTAGTTGAGTTATAAGCCTTCATGGAAGGTGAAACTGCTCAGACAAAGACCGCTTATGGAAAATACACCCAACTAAAATGGAGCTTGTAGAAATACATAGCACTTCCAGTATAAGAAACTGTAGACTCATCTTAAGCAAGGAAGTAATCTTAATATAGGAATTGAACATCTAGTAAGTCCAGCATCAAGTTTCCTTTAGGACAGAAAGCAATTTGCCTTTGGGAAGTATAATTTTCATCCCAAAAAGGCTTTCAAGGTAGCATCATGATGGATGAGAAAATGGACTTTGACTTTCACTTAAGAAAAATAAAAAGAAGTAAAAATAAAATAAAACAGAGCTAAAGTAAAGTCGCGAGTATTGTGGCTGGTGAGAACTGAGGCACAGTGGTGATGCACCCTATCCCCATGAAGGAATTGCCAGGGAGCAGAGCCGAACTGAGCCTACCGACCACAGCCAAGGAGCTGCCCTGCATCTCCCTTTCATTACACTTTCACAAATGAATTTTCCAAGTGAGGCTCCCTCAACTAACCTATAGTCCAACTGAACAAGAACATGTATGCATACCGGCTCTTGCCTAGTGACCGCCGTGGGGTAGAGGGGCAAGAGGGATAGAAAAGAAATGAAACATAGGCAAGACTCTCATTTCCCTAATATCAAATCCATATTTTGATTCTAAAACAAGAAAAATTTTGCTATATTAATTTCTGTGAAAATATAAGTATTCATCTTTCAAAACACATTCACATCAAAGTATTTCACAACAATGGCAGCATGCCTATTTACATTTTTGAGGAAAGAAAGCAAAATAGTATCAAGTCAGACAAAAAGCAACTAAAAACAAACCTATGGTATTCAACAGCCATGAGAATTCCCCAATTTCAACATAGAAATCTTTTCTCCAAGATAGTTCAGGTGAGAATCTGTTTCCGAGGTTTCTGGGCTACAGACGGGCCTAAGCCCTTTCTCCCTGATTTTGAAATAGCAACAGATTCTGGGTAAGTGTTGGTGTCTTATAAATTACAAATGTGGGTATGCTTTTTCCTGTTTACGAGGTTTATTTCTCTCCAGGCAGTGGGAAGCGCCACATCACTGCTTCATTTCCTCCGTTTACTAAAGGAATGGCAACTGCCTAAGGCACGTGAGCGAAGCCATATAATGTTCATTAAGAGGGTGCAAGAGAAATACAGGCTTTCAAATCCTAATGACTTCTTGGAAAATTCAATCACAATAGCCCCAGTCTAGCCAGACTGAGCTTCTCGGGTCCGTGCTGGTTGACCCCTCTGCTGTGCAAAGCCCCCTTTCCCACCAGAGGGGCAATTGACCAAGTTAGGGCTCTTACTGGAGCAGCCTCACATGGCTGTGGAGGGAGGTGACAGGATGAGCAAGAAACTGAAATTCTCCCCTCTCATGTAACTCTAGACTGTAATTAATCAACTCTGCAATGCAAGCTATCCTCAGCTCTCATATAAAAAGGTACCCCGCTGGCTAGAGGATGCCTCCCCATCCAAATGTGGAAATTTAACTACAGATTCAAAGGAGATCCAGTTTCAAAGCACAGTCTCCTTTCTAAACCTCTTTTGAAAAAAATCACACCCACTAACTACAGGGTCATCAGTGGACTAATTTGGCGAAGAAATAATTCCTTTATTTGGCCTAACCTGTCTCTTCTATGTATAGTGGGGACTGGGGAAAGCTTATCTGCCAACGTGAGTCAGAACAAGAACTGGTTGCAAACTGCACATCACGCAAAAGGTCTCTGCTCTCTCCAGTAGAGAACACACACCACAGGACAGAAAAAGTCTTCCGTGAGGGCTTTCAAATCAGACCATTGTATCTTATTTAGCATTTGAGTGAATGCCAGCTCTCTGTGGTCTGAGTATTAATGCATGCACAGGCTTGTATTTTTCCAGGCTCGATGAATACCATCAGCTAAAGATAGCACAGTAATATAACACTTCAGTCACAGGACTTTTTTTTTTTAAGGAAACTAAGTTAAATATTTTAAGCATAGTCACATAGCAGGAACAAGAGAAACCAGCCTTGGATAAATGCACAGGCCAAAGGAAAAAAAATGCATCATAATGTAAGAGCAGAGGCTAGAAAGGAGTCAGTTTTATAGCTAGTATGACCACAAAATTGGCATGTGGCCTTAACTAAATTAAATATCTCTTCTGTCTCTACTTTCTCTATATCTTACACATAAGGGCATACAGGTAGGAGCTATTCATGGGCATCCTAAAAGAGTTCGCTAGGTGGATATGAGAAATAATGGTGAAAAGCTAATCAGTGCAAGATAAGTGTGCCCTCACTAATACAACCACCAAGCTATTCTTACTTCAATTCATTGCTTTTGTGACAAGAGACTAGAACAAGTTACAGCTAAAAATAAAGACATTATTCCAGGTGATCTCAACAGAGCAGTTATTTGGAAATGAAAAATTGAGGAAAGCTTAAACAGCTGAATGGTGAGCTTGGTGTTGTACGTGTAACACGAGTTAGGCGTGGCTTTGCGTTGTCTCTTCATAAAGAAGCCACTCTTTACAGGTCCGGTGCCATCTCAGTAGGGTTCATTTCCCTCTTTAGTATCTGAATGAAATGGTACAGCAGCTCAGGGACAAGCAGAAGCTTCCAACTGGAAATGATTCTCATGTCCAAAAAGGGAGCAGAGGTGTCCCCTCCCCACCTTTGATTTCTGAATGAGCTTTCTTCACAGCCCTGAGCTCCACGAGACTGCGTAGGTAGTAGCATGGGTCTTCAGAAACATTCACGTTTACTTGAGTGACATTTCCCAAGTCACGTCATTGCAAGCACAGCACTGTCCTTTGTCAAGATGCACAAGATCATCTCTCCTCACAGACAAGTACAGCAGGAAAGCTCTCAGGACGGCTAACAGTATTCCAAAGGTTTTGATTTTAAAGACTGAGAATAAACAGATACCTTTCGCACTGCCCCTCAAAACCGACATATTTCACACATGAATGTTCAATCCGCAAAGAGCAGGGAGGGCCTTGTGAAGATGCATGTCATTCATTAGAAGGAGAATCTGCTACTTGGGAGAAACTGATGCACTTGGGGGAAAGCACAGCAAATGGAAGATAGAAGGCCTGCTGCCTCTTGCCTCAGAATTCAAAGAAAGCTTATGTTCCAGAAAGCAAATTATTTCTCAAGATTCACCTGATTCAAGACCAAATCAAAATAATAACGTGTGAGAAACTAAGTGTTCAAGGGCACACAGACTTAGAATTTTTTCTGGCGATACAATCACCCCTTTGAAAGGCATAGTTTAATAACTGGAAGCAGTTTTCTCCCTCCAAATGCATCCTCTAGGTTTCAAAATAAATCTCCAGTATGACTGTGCTAGTAAACTGAGAAATAGCAGAAATAATGCACCCCTTGCTCCAGTGACTAAAATCAAGAAATAAAAATAAAGTAAAAAAAATCTCAAGATGGCAGGGAAACATCTTGCCGAGTGTGGACTACCATGGGTTGTGGGGAAATGGGGAAAGAGAGGGGAATTGCCTGTGCCCCCAGGACCATGGAGTGCGGGGAGGAGGAGAAGGGGTGGAGGCTTGCCTGTGCCCCCAGGACCATGAGGAGCAGGGAGGGGAGGAAGGGGTGGGAGTCTTGCCTGTGCCCCCAGGACCAAAGCACTGGGAGTGTCCCCTGGGACTGGGTGCTCTGAGTTCAAATGCAGCGGCCCCCACCTCCCCAAGGCCACCATTCATCATAGGGGTCAAGACATCAGAACTGCTGATTTTTCCAAACATCTTCTCAAGCAGCAGCAACCCCAGCAGTTTTCCTGCAAAGCAAACAAAATATGACTCTTGTTAATTCAACAGGGCTTTTAAAATTGTAATTAGTTGGTTGTGCCCCTTAGGAAAACCACACACGATTTTTTATAATGTATGTGTGTATGTGAGAGAAAAAAAAGAAACCCCTTGAAGGATTCCAAATGCTTCCCAGAGTGGGGTTGGGTTTTTTTTTTTCAGTTTATGCAAGATATTTTAGTACTATTTGCAATATCGAAGGACAAGGCCTCTTTGTTTCATCTGAAGCACAGCCAGCTCCCAAGGCTGCTGCCACCCATCCATTCTGTCAGCTTGATCCTAGCATCAAAGTTAGGCTGCGGGTCACGCATGGAAATACTTGCATTTGCTTTAGAACCACATCTGACCTGGGGCCCGCACAGTTTGCTGCCCTACATCATTCCTATGGATCTGAAGAGGTATCCTAAATTTATCTCACAGGCTGGCAAAAGATGCAACAGAAACACAAAACGAAATGCCACCATTTTTAGAGTAATTTTTAGAGTGTTTCCTCAACACATCAAAAAACCTCTAACAAATTGCAGGAGATTTATATGCCACAATTTACATTGTGGATTATGCCTTATTCATAGGTCCTGGAAGCCGTACATTTTCCACAGAAATAATCTTTAACCACCAGATTTCTAAAATCAATATTATCTCAAAGTTGGTTTTACTCATAATGCATCTTGCCCAAAACCCCATCTTATTCTGGCAGGAAATATTGTGAAGAATAATCTATTTTTTTAAACATTCTTCTTAAATGAGGCTGCTCCCAGAGTTAATATCTTAAGCTTAAATTTTAATTTGAAAAAAAAAATAGTAAAAAAGTAAACTAGGAAGTATCCACATTGTGTGGACATGAAACAACTCTCCCTGGCCTGAGGTGGAACCAAAGTGAATTTCTGTGGCCAGATGGAGCTGAGGGGCCCAGGGAAGGAAGGCATTCAGCCCAAGGGACCATCAGGAGGCAGACCTGACCAAGTTCAGAGAGAGGTCTCATCAAGCTATTCCAACAAAGATGGTACCTAACTGTGCCAGTGTGTGATCAGCTCAAATGTGTTAGTCTTTGTCCTCTGTATAACTGTCACTGCTTGGACTGCCATTATCTTCCATGGCATTGGGTTCAAAGCACCAGCTTGCTGTGGAAGAACTCTACCACCTCCCACCAGCCATTTCCTCCCCATTCTTCCTTAACAAGGTCAGGTTTGCAAAGCAGCCTCCTGCCACCCAGTGAATTCGTTCCCACCAGGCCTCAAAAATGACTCCAGTGTTTATGGTGGGAAGGTGGTTTGTGCCAAACCCTCAGGGTTTGTGGTAGCTGGGGACAAACAACTTGGGGAAGGAATGGGGGAGGGGACAGAAGGAACAACACAGGCCCACTGCCTATAGACTCTAGTACTCACAGCTCACAGCAAAGGCCAACTACACCTCAGCGAGCACTCTGAACCAGGCCTGGGAGCACAGAGAGCCCTTTCTGCACACTGTCACAAGACTACCTCCTACTCTTCCCAAAACTTTAACGTCCTTGCTATTTTTGACAAACAAGAATGGTCCTGTCAGCCTTCCTGCTGACTTTTCATATAGTTCTCAATAAGTGATAGACTCGTAAGTGACCCTTACACTAAAGGCCAAATGCTTTTCTAATGCTGGTTTGTGACTTTTATTATGACTTATTGATTTGTTTTTACCTAATCTTATTCTAAAAAAGATTCAAGGCAGCTTACAAGAACATACATAGTCAAAGAGACAAACAAAAACCTTAGGACCTTAGAATAAATACAAATCAGAATAAAAGTTTAAGACCAGTGGGCAGCAAGAATGCAGGTTCACACAAATCATAATCCTATGTAGTTGTTAAAATTGAGCTCCGACAATGGCCATGGGTTTACTGGTCAAGATTAGGGAGCTGACTTGCTGGAGGGTGAATGGCTCCCAACAAGGACACAAATGTCAGGATTTCTAAAAGTCTCTGTAATAAGTGCTTTTTCTTAGGCTTCTTCTTCAGGGCATAAATCAGGCTGGCTTATTGATACAATAGAAAATATATATTTGTAAAACTATCTCTTAAGAATTTCAACAAAATTCTAAGCAGGGTAGAGACTCTGTATGAAGTGATGGGTCCTTGGGGTCCAAGATGGGGCCAAGACCAGGAGGCAGCCCAGTAGGTTTTGGATTCAGAGACCTGAGAGAAGCACACTCTACCATTGCCTAGCAGTATGGCTTTGGGTGAGTTTAGTTCCTGAGTCTCTGAAACTTGGTTTTCCTCTCTATTAAAAAAAGATATTACTTCCTCTGATCTAACACAATTGTTGCAAGGACTGCCAGAGAGTGTCTGTTCAGTTACCTACTATGTTCCAGCTCCTGGTCTAAGGGCTTTGCTTAGATTATCTCATCGGAGCCACTCAAAGGCTTAGAAAGTATGACTATCCCCAACCCCCAAATCAGGAAACTAAGGTTTCTCTGCCAGAAAACGGCAGAGCCAGGTTGCAAATGCAGCAGTCCGATTACAGGGCCCTCCCCCTTAGCCAAAACACTGCCCTGCCCCCCACATAGTCAGCGCAACAAACATTCAATTTCTTTCTTGCTCCTCTCTCCAAAGGCTTGCACAACACCGCTTCAGGGAAAGACCCGAGACCAACCTTTCAATGGGCGCCTTCTGTACACTGTTTGGTCACAGGGTTCTGAGCATCAGAGTAGCATTTCTTCTTCTTCTAGGAAAATCAGAAGACATTTCCAGAATGATTAGAACGTTTTTCATCAGTTCCTGACTTATGAAAACACTTGAGAAAATAACTTGCTACTGAGTAGAAAATGCTCTTCTGGAGTTCTTGAAGCCTAATTGCTGACAATCCTTTGACAGATATACTGGCCCACCTCAAGAGTCCAGCTAAACACATCCCCCGCTCTCCTCTAGAGTGCCTTTCATCACCACTCTTCCCCTCAGAGTCAGAGATGAAGAGCTTAGCACCTAATGACACTTAATTTTTACACATGTGTTTTGTCAAAACTTCCTTCGACATAATTCACGTAGACAAAGCACAAGAATCAAGACTGAAACTGGGGCTGCAAGTGACTACAAAGATGAGTCAGACACAGAAAAGGCTTCTTCCAAAAGTTTTCAAATCTGGTCGACAAGACTTATGTAAGTGCTACAAGAGCAGTTCAAGAAGGCAGAGAAAGCACCTCCTGTTTGGGGACTGAGAAAAGCCACCTTAAAGGGGATGGCATGTAAAATAGGCCTTAGAGCATCACTATGATTTGGGCTTATCTGGAAGGAGCAGCTGAGACAAGACTGGAAACCAAGGTCAGGGTGCACGGGAGCAGGCCTGGACTGCTGGATGTGTTTGGTGTGGACAATGGGGAACCCTTGAAGATTGTCTGATCGGAGGAATATGATCAGAGTTGTAATTTCAAAAATCATGATTTAGTGAATTAGAGAAGACAGTCAGTGGAGGTTGAATACCAGCTCATAGGTTATGTTATTAGTTCAATAAATTGAAAGAAGGACATGAGTTGAGGGAGTAGCTCTGGGAATGAGAGGGAAAGGTAGAAGGCTTATTAGCTCTGGGAGAAAAGAAACCATGTCATATTTGCTTAGTGTCACTTCCTTCAGCCCCAAAGCATTTATTAAGCCTGTGGTAGGTGCTTGCCAAGTCCTAAAAGATTTGTAGTTTGGGAATGCTTTGTTCTACCCCAGCTGAGAGCTGTGTCTGATGGAGGGAGGTTGGGGTCATAAAAAAAAGCTAAGAACCACAGCTGTCATCTTGAGCTTAATACAGAAGGCAGAGACCTTCAGGACCTTAATTTTTAAGGGGAA